CTATCTATCTATCTATCTATCTATCTATCTATCTATCTATCTATCTAATATCTATCATCTATCCAGGTGAAAGGCAATTCCCCAGAGTTTATCAAGTCTAAAGCAGAAAGTGAGGTAATAGAGCCAGTTAAACGAGCACTTAACAAATTCCTGACAGATCATGATAGATACCTCAAATATATTGAAGCTTTATTTCCCTTTTGCCAAAAGTGTTCTTAAGTCTTGGGCATCACTTAATTTTGCTAGTAATTTTAAATTTAAAATGCGAAACTCTTGAAGGTATTGCTTGGTAACATGAGAGCTTTGTTGGTTTTTTTTGGGCTGATTTTTGTTATGCACAGTAAAAGTACAGCCAGTCACTCTTGTGTGGCAGTCATCAGCCTGGTGTCAGGGGGTCAGAAATGGCTGTCACTGGTCAGCAGGTAGATTTTTGTGAAGCAGTTTCTTCAATATATTTCTTTCATTCACTCTGTGCTGCAGAGAAAAAGCACACAGTGAGTAGATGTAACTTAATTCTCTCAAGTGCATACTGTGTGATTCGCTCCAAGGCAAATGGAGGAGAGGACACTGGCCACTGAGTCACCTTTTCTTGTTACTAGTGTTTGTGTGTTTGGCACTAGATGACAGCTTATAGAACAGGAATCTTTGAAAAGTTGTTACTGGATCTAATGCCTTCACAGACAAGCTATTTCTGGTTTCTGTTAGCAGTGGTTGACGATCTGACTGTCCTTGGGATAAATGGGGGGTAAATTATAAAGGAGAGAAAGCTGGGTTTCTTTTCTGAGACAGCTGTCATGGAGACTTGTACTGTCAGAGGGTCTCCAGGTTGACCCTTTCCTTGTCACCTGCCGCTTTCTGCCACGTTACAATCCTCTGCAGATCTACCTGCACTTTGGAAATTACCTGGGACTGAGGGAACACTCCGTAAAGAGTGTTGTCATTAAGGAACTAGATTTTTGGTCTTAGTGTAGAGTTACTTAGATGAATTAATTTCCATCTGCCTTTGAGTCAGGAGAGCCTTGTGTTTCTTTGTTTCATCCAGCATTTCTGAGCTTTACAGCTCTGGGGAAAGGAGCAGGCATTTTTCTCTTTTATTGCATTGCAGACTAGGGAAAATCGTTCAAGTGGAGAGAGTCCCATGCCCAGGATTGTGTCTCTGGTAGACATAAAAACACATAGCAATGAGGTAGTCTCATTTTAGCTCTGAAGAAATTGATGGCGTCGCAGGGCATTCCATTTCGAGAATTTCATAATTAATTTATTTGAAATGTATCTTTTTTTCAGTATTTAGTAGGAAGAATTTGAGAGGTTCCTTTTTGAAAAGTGGTCTTGGTGTCAAACTCAGGGCCTCTTTGATGTTCAGCAATGGCTTTATAACTGAATTAGTTTCCTAGCCTAGTAATAGGGTGCAGTTAATTAAAGTTTGGACATCTAATATATTGAATTTGTGATGCTAAATCACTTTTGATAGAAATCTTTCCAGTCAATTATGTGCTTAATCTGTCTCCCTTTTGAACACATGCAATGAAAGTTCCATCTGTTTTAAAGAGGCTCGCTGTCATCGCCAGGCACATCATTGTCTTGTGAAAGCGCTGGTGTTGACCTGAAGAGCAGTTTAAATGTGTGGACCAGAGGCCACGGTCTTCTGTAGCTTGAGATTTTGTATCTGTGTAGTTTCTTGACTTCTCCTTGGATATCACTTCTTTTATTCTTTAGCGCTATTTTTTATTTGCTTTCCCAGTCTTTCAAATTACTTAATTTTTTTTATAATTGATTCTAAAAGTTCTACAATTATGATGCTATCTGTATTTCCTGTGCTTCCTCTGCATGTCAGGCTCTGGGATAGTGCATTATGTAAGTATATGTAATCTTTGCCATAGTTTAGAGTATAGCTATGCCTAGTCACTTGTTCTATGAGCAACCAAGGCTCAGACAAGTCAGAGAACCTGACTAAGAGCACCGAGCAAGTAATGCTCTTCAGGGCATGCCCTTAAGAAACAAACCAGTCATTAGTGTGGAGAAAACAAAGCCAAGCTGCTCACTGGGCTTCTGAAGGGCTAATTGGCGAAAGGCTGATTAGCAAAGTGCTTGAAACCTGCGACTCACATTTTGGCTTTTCTAAAGGTTACCTTATTTGCTGTTTTAGTAGAAAGAACGGGCCCTCTGTGAGTGAGTATTTTCTCACAATACACTATCTCATGTACCTAGCTTTGAATCCATGAGTAAGGGAGGCTAGCCATGAACTCCTGGTCTTCCTGTTTCCCAAGTGTTACAAATGCAGACGTATGCCACCATACCTGGCTCTACCCTTGACTTTAGTACACAGCTTTTTATAGAATAATATTGAAAATTTTACAACCCAAACAGTCTGGTAGCAGTAGCTCATGATAGAGTACAGTTAGTGGCTGACATAAATGAAGAAGATATTTTGGAAATTACATTGTTGGGCTGGGTAAGGAAGCACACTGCTTTAATGTCACCACTTGGGAAGCAAGGGGGACAGATCACTCGTAGTCCAATGCCAGTTGATGTAAAAACAAAACCCAAACCACCCCACACCCCAAGTGAAGAGAGCCAATGATGTCATTCCTCTGAACAAGCAAACAGGGGTGCTGGATATTGTTGTATCGGGTTCCAAACACTAGAAAGAATTTGCCAAGAGAACCTGTGACTAAGACATTGCTCTTAAGTCATTTTAGCCTTGTCTGAAAGATTCTTTAGAATCGTGGCTTGAATCAAAGTTAAATGCCCTAAAGCTTAAGTGGTACATTGAATGATTGACTGCCTTATGACCTGAATTTTGGCTTGATTTTAAATCCATTTAAGCACTTGGCTCTTAGCCATGTGCATT